GCTCATTTTATGTCTCTCTTTTCCCCCCATAAATAACGTTTAAGATTTACGGTTTTTCCTTCCAACCTTCTCTGTCAAATGCTTTTTAGTAAGCTGACGGATCTGGTCATGTGAACCGGGATTAAGGGACTTATCATTTTTTACCTGGGAAGGGGGGACTGGTCAAAATGTAGGGGGGTCAAGTTTTTTTCTGTAAGTGGAAAAGGGTGGTTCAAATTTTTGTATAACTTGAATTAAAAGTGGGGGATCAATTTTATCTCTAATGAAACATTTGTGAACTTTTGAATCTTCAAGTATATCCTACATATCATGTGTGTCAAAAGGCATGTTTAATAGAGAGGGGATCACATTGTTTAAAATGTGTTTAAGGGGGAATAAAATAATAATAGTGATGTATTATGGGGGATCAAGAAAATTTTATATGTTTAATTTCAAAATGACCAGTCCCCCCTCCCAGGTAAAAAATTATAAGTCCCTTATCATCAAAGATTATGCTCTCCCATAAATGACTCTTTGATCTATTATTGGCGGCGGAGATAAAGGCAAAAAACCTCGGAAAAAAATCAATTCACGCTTCAATATTCTTTGATGGGTTCTACTGAATTAATTTTAGAAAGAAGTAACTCTTTGGTACATCAAAAACAGTACATGCAATTATTTAATTTACAAAAATATATGTTAAGGACATCAACTGTCAAAGCTAGGCATACACTATTTTTATAGACGAAAATGAAAAAAAATCCGTTCCTCAAAATACAGATTTTGTTCCATTTCGTTGTGTTTCGTTTCGTTTCGGCGTGTTTCTTTTGAATCGCTGTGTTTCATTTCGTTTCGTTTCGCCATGTTTCGTTTCGTTTCGCTCTGTTTCGTTTCTTTTAAGTTTTTCACTTTACAGGGACCCGTATTATACTAGTTAGTATAATCAGAGACATATAATACAATATTTCTCTGGTATAATAGTCCCAGCATTCACCAAATAAAAACTTCGGAATTTGTTATCAAGTTTTGAAATATTTCTATTTTAACTAAATAGTTTGCTAACAAAGGGATTTCTAACATTAACCAATCGGCTTTACAGGTTTTATAGCTAGCTACCTCCCCCCCCCCCCCCCCTAACACAATAGTACGATCATTTGTTGTATCATCATATATATATAAAAAAAAAATATATATATATATATATAGAGTGAGAGACCCATATTCGCCGCATAATTCGTTCATTTCCACTTACATCCGACCTACATTCGAATATTTGGAACCTTTTATGAAGGTTTCAGAAATTTAACTATATGAAAAAAATGTTTGAAAAAGAAATCATCTTCAAAACATTGGTTAATTGTTCTAAAAACGAACGCAAACTCAAGAGGAAATCAAGTTGTTCGTGTACCATGGGGGACACATTTTCGCCGCAATGTATGATATGACCATCCTCATTATGAATCCATTATCCTGGTATATTATAGAAACGAATGTTTGCAATTATATGAATTAGCTTGAGAGATCATTCTTATACGATTTTTCTCACAAATATTTACTTTAAGACTGCGCATGATTGCCATATAAATCGTACATAATTGCCAAATTCATTTAAAAACACCTGCGTATTTCTCAATATGTGCGAATAACCTTGGAAATGGGGTAAAGAGGAATATCAACAGTTGTAACATTACAAACAGCCTTTACCATCTATTAAGGCAAGTATTGGGTAAAGGCACACAAATTTTACAGAAAAAAATAGCAAAACGGCGAAAATGTGTCCAAGGCGAATATGCGCCACCCACTCTATATATATATAGATTATGTGTATATTGCATCTCTTTTATTCATAATAAAAACTACTCTACCTTAATATTATCATAAGTTTTGTGATTATTTCTTTATTAATTGTGTGTCTGTATACATAATATATTATTACTAAACCTTTTTCATTTTGTAAAGAAATGTCCGGATTTTGTTATGCGGATTTCAGATTCTTTTCCGAATTTGCTTTTCATATAGATTATATTAAGGGGAGATAAGCAGAAATATAAACCTATCAAATTTTGAATGAGAACATTTTCTTCGGTTAAACGTTACTTCAGGATAATTTCATATTTAAGAACGTTCAGATGGTAAAGTAATGTTAAAATTGGAAGTTTCCAAATTGTATATTTCCGAGAGAAAGTGTGAAAGACAAAACAATTTAACATGATGCTTGATGACAATGATGTCCATGTTACGTATCACTATCAATCATGCACATCAAAATTCAAGGACTAGTCCAAATAATTATTACGTCTTGAAAGGCTATTCTATTTGTTTGCTTTGACGCATTAGGCGTCAAAGCAAACAAAATAAAATAGCCTTTCAAGACTCATAATTATTTGGACTAATCAAGGACGTACATGTATGTAGATCTATACTAAAGAAAAATTATCAGAAACATATAATATAATTAATGATGTATTATATGTCTCTGATATTATGTTAGTAATATATCCTTTCATCATATATTTAGTAATAAATACAGACATTTTGTATATTTGATCTTTACGTTAGTCTATCATCTATCCTGTATCGCATGGCTAAACCTGTATCGCACCCCTTTCTGAACATCTCAAGACTGTTTTTGGAACTCCTGAGTTATCCCCTTGAAATTTCAGAAGACGACAATGTCGGACATCTAAACCCTCTTGCCATAGGAGGAACACATTTTCCCATATATTTAATTTATGCAAGCACTTGTTCATTACCGCATCTCTTTCAAATGAAACACTGAAGAATATAGAGTAAAATCTTTTTCTTCAATGGGTCTCCAATGTTTTACAAGCTCTTGTACAATCTAGAAATGTAGCACCTATACAATGTAACATATTTGAAACCCAAATATATGATGTGCAATGATCTACATGATACATGTGATATATACATGTATATATAACAACTCAATTTTCAAACAGTAACAGACTTTCTGTAGAGATTTTTTCAAATCGAAATAGGTTAACAGATGATTGATATTCATTTTCTTAAGGTCAATTTCTATCCAATGCTGCTGACATATTATCTGTTAGTGACCTCTTATGTCTTGCTTGTGCTGGGGGTTGTGTCATTGATGTTTAAACCATCTCCAGTCATACATGTACCAGTTATTAATATTAAAATTCAGTTGACAATTGTTGATAATTAACTATATTTATTTCCAATAATTATATAATGCAATACCAATACTGATCAATAAACTTTAAGGTCATGTTTTGCTGTTTTTGTAATGTTTAAAGGCGTTTCAGAAATGCACAAAAAGAAACGGATTTACACAAAATCTTAAGGGTGAAACCATACGTAATGTCCATTTTCACTGAATCAGTACACAATTTTATTTAGAGGCCAGCTGAGGACCACCTCAGGGTGCGAGATTTTCTCGCTGCGTTGAAGACCAATTGGTGGCCTTCGGCTAATATCTGCTCTTTGGTCAGGTTGTTGTCTCTTTGACATATTCCCCATTTCCATTCTCAATTTTATAAAGAAGATTTTATGAAATTAAAGTATGTCATGAATTTGTTCACACAATATTATCCGATTATTGCTTTTATGAGTTTACCATAGTGAAGCCAAAAGTCTTACACGTCTTAGATGCGCGGATACACCAGACTGCACCTTACATCAACAAAATTAATATATGTTTCAAATAATACTATATTAATGAACTTCAGCATTGTTTACAAAGTATATTTTGACACATCATTTTGTCATGATATTAAAGTAAAAATTTATTTAAATGTTGTATGTTCAGCATATTGACAAACATTTGAACATAAGCTCTGTTTGTTTTTTTTAATTTAGCAACAATGCATATATATACATGTACATGTATGTATAGGAACCTTTTTGTTTTTTAGCCTCCATGAATATCACCTTAATTTAAGAGTCAATAAAACCACATATTTACTTCATAAAAAACAGTAATTGTATATCATTTTAACATGTTGTACACATTCTTATATCCTACATGATAGTGTTAATTAATAACATTACACCATCATGACCATTTTTAATATCTTGATTTGTATTGGTATTCAGACAAAGAATACTTGATTATGTAATGAGATTATTTACATGTACATGTAACTCATTAATATTACAACTTGGTATTATATAGTATTATTACCCTTTAAATCCTAAATGGTATCCACCAAATCAATAACAGATTATCTTATTTAACAATACGAGGGTTAGCAGTTTACCCAGAAGTTTATTAATACATTTACTTATAGATTGTTGGGCTTAGAAAGCAGGATATCAAATTCAGTTACTATGACTATTGAAAAAATGGTATGTCATTTATGTATCTTAAGTTTTTTAAAATTTTTGCATCGATTACCTACATGACCTATAAAATATACCTAATCTGATATCTGTAAACAGCTTTGGAGCTTTATTGACAAAAAAGGGACTTTTACATGTATGCAATTTTGTATGAAATGGTTGTGATCAGTTTTGATCTGCAACTAACCAAATTTACTCAGTGGTTTTAATATCATATTTATAATCAAATAATGAAATTTGTAAAAATTTGCCTCAAGTATAAGTAGTGATGATAGTGTTGATTTGAAACATTACTACTAGTTTAGTAAAAGTCTGCTTTTGACTTGCAGATTAAAGGATATTGAGTTAATGCTGAAAAAATTGAATGAAATGGTGTTTTGTACATGTGAATCTTATGCTCCCTTGTATCTTAAGTTACTATTCATTCTATGAGGCTCCAGCAGGGTTAACCCCCTAGGTCTTAAGGTTACATTTGAAAATTTCCTCAGGTCATCAGGTCTTAAAGATCACAGGTTTTTTAAATGAGATATCAGGTCACATGTCAGATATGAAGATGGTGGAGCCAGATCTATTCTATTTTATCACATGTTTATTGATTGTTGTATTTTCTGAAAATTTTGTTTCCTTTAAACTGAAAGTAGAACTGAAACTAGATTGTTTAAATGTTAACAAAACATTTCTACCATATAAATTTGATATGCACAAAAAAAATTAGGACTTGATACTTCACTTGTTTATTGACTTACTTTGCCTAGGAGGAATTAAGTACGTTTCTCATATCTTTTGTATGCTTGTGATTGAAATTTATCAGTCTTGATAAGTAAATTTTGAGGATTAACAGGGAAACCCTAAGTATGGTAAGATATTTCAATACTGCGAAATTGAATTATTGTTGTAGCATCGATCGTATTAACATGAGTTTAGTCTTGCCTGCGACAAAAAACTTTTCAGAAATACACGAATGATGTAGGTCTATGTAAATTCTCCATAGTTTGTCATCAACACCAAGTGTTACATTTTCTGAGTGCTTTCAGACCTGTTCGATATTTTACATTGTTTGAATGTTGAGTTTTATTTTTTGGTAGACATATTGATGAAGAAGACTACAAATACTTATGATGAATAATTGATATTTGGCACAGTTACATCGATCTACATTAAAATATGTGTCTGAATAGTATGCCGATCATTCGTCTCCTTCATGCTGTATGGCTGTAGACTGAAGTCACTAGATTTTTTGTCTTGGTCAAATGTTAAGTTTCCTGCTTAAATGTATTTATGTTTGCACCTGTCCTAAGTCAGGAATCTGATGTACAGTAGTTGTCATCTGTTTATTTAGTTCATACGTGTTTCTCGTTTCTCGTTTTTATAAAGATTAGACCGTTGGTTTTTCCGTTTGTATGGTTTTACACTAGTAATTTTTTGGGGCCCTTTATAGCTTGCTGTTCGGTGTGAGCCAATGCTCTGTAATGAAGACCGTACTTTGACCTATAATGGTTTACTTTTATAAATTGTTACTTGGATGGAGAGTTGTCTCATTGGCACTCATACCACATTTTCCTATATCTATTTACAAGGACGTTATCATGATAGTTTTTGATATACAGTGTTCTGTTTCATGCATTAGAATACAAGTTTGAATCAGAATATAAGAAATTGCTCCTATAGTCAAGCTGCAGTGAATTTGGCAGTTCATCAAATTCCTGATCTTCACAGACACTGTCTTTGACAGAACTTGAATTTCTTACACATTTTTAATGTCTGATGGGAAATTTTTATACTTCTAATTTTATTGTTTTAAGTTGAACTTCCGAAGCAGCACAGCCTTGGTGGAAGAAGTTCCTCTAGCCTGTCAACACTGAGGGTGTGTCTACTAAGATCTTAATTAAAAAAGTCAAGAGGGCTGAAAGTGGCATACAACACCAATACTCAATCAATCAATCTGAAGCATCCATTACACATTACACCTGTTATAACATTACACGACACATATCGTTATATGACACATGTACAATACATGTTGTTAAAGGACACGTGACATTTTTTTTTATATTTTACAGATGGAATTTCTTAACCAGCCAAATGTACACATTGGTGATCCAGACCATGTTAAGCATGTTATAGAACAGTTGATTCAGTATGGCCCAGACAAATTACAGGTTGGATTATCACGACTATCTTATAAGTTATTTAGATGAGAGAAAAAACTGTAAAAAAAACATGACAGTCATGGAAAAAAATGCTTGCTATTGTTTGTTTAACAAAAGCAAAGCATCAGAATTACAAAATAAGAAGATGTGGTATGACTTGCAAATGAGACAACTCTCCACCAGAAATCAAATGACGCTATGAGCAAAACCCATACTGCATAGTAACCTTTAAAAGGCCCCAAAATAACAAATGTAAAACAATTCAAATGAAAAAAACTAAAGGCCTGATTTATGTACAAAACAATAAATGAAAAACAAATGTGATATAGAGCAACAGATGACAACCACTGAATTACAGGCTCCTGACTTGGGACAAGAACATGTGGCGGGGTTTAACAGGCTCCTGACTTGGGACAAGAACATGTAGCGGGGTTTAACAGGCTCCTGACTTGGGACAGGAACATGTAGTGGGGTTTAACAGGCTCCTGACTTGGGACAAGAACATGTGGCGGGGTTTAACATGTTTGTATTATATATACATGATATATTTGTTCTTCATCAAACCTTTATTCATATACATGATATATGACAACCAAAATTGTATAAATATGTTCAGCAAAAAAAAATGCATCATTATTCATAGGAATTTTATATTGAGCTTTAAAGACTGGATTCCTTTAAAAAAAAAAGAAAGGGGGAAGATACCATGGTGACATTCAGAACTCATATAACATGTATAACTGACAATACTTTACAAAAAAAAAACAAAAAGCAATGAAAGACAAATCTGCAAAACACCACATAGAGGTCTTGTAAAGATTGAGCAACAGGCTAGAAACCTTACCCCCCACCACCAAAAAAAAAAAAAGGTTTCTCTTAGTCAATTAATGCTTTCTTGAATCCTTTGAATCATATGGCATTTCCATATTTACAAGATTGATTTTGTTCTTGTCAATTGTAACAAATAACTTTTTGTTATTCTAGAGTTCTGAAACTTGATTATGAAATTATGATCATTTTTTGAGATTTTAAAAAGAATTTCACATTTGTTTTCTCTGGAGCTTGTGACATAATTAGTGATGCAAGTAATGTTCAATTTGAGAAAAAAGTAAAATAACAAAAATACCAAACTCCAATGAAAATTCAAAACAGAAAGTCCCATATCAAATGGAAAAATCAAAAGCTCAAACACATCAAACAAATGGACAACAGCTGTTTTATTCCTGACTTGGTACAGGCATTTCCTTATGTAGAAAATGGTGGGGAAAAAAAGAAAAAGGGTTACTGTTTAATTTTTGAAGGACAGACTTTTTATTAGCTTTTAGTTTTTGTATTGTACAGCTGTTTACTTTTCAGTGTAAAATAACAATAAAACAATGGATTTAACAAAAAATACATTGATTATAAATACATAAAGAGCTTAAATTGCAGCCAAGTGATAATAAGGTAGTATAAAAAACAATAAAACAATGGATTCAACAAAAACACATGGATAATACATAAAGAGCTTGAATGGCGGCTTGATAAAGTGGTAGTATAAAAACACTAAAACATTTGATTTATCACAAAACACACGGATTATTCACAAAATACACGGATTATTCACAAAAAAACTTGCTAAATTATGTGTTAGTGTTGTAAATATTAATTAATTAATGATTTTATAAATTTTCATTATTTTCATGTTTTTGGATTTGATTTAATTACACAGGTTGTGTGTGATTTTGATTTTACACTTTCAAAATACTATGAAAAAGGGAAGCCCTGCTCAAGTTGTCACAGTAAGTGATTTGATAAACTGTAAAATAGGCCACACCAATCTAATTTTAGTTATTTGGATGATTTTTCAGCTTTTCTGGACTATTATTATGTTTCAGAGTATTATTTGGATGAAAATGATTTTATTTCATGACAGTTTGTATACTTTTGAATGAGACAAGAAAAATTTCTTTCAATATAATCTATCTTTCATACTACTTGAGGAGATGATAAATTCAAAATGGCGGGAAGGGATGAATCATCATTACTTTTTAACCTTTTAGATATCCAAAGAACTGAAAATAAATGGTATGGCCTTTTGAATAAGTAACTTAACATTAAAATGATGTGTTTTTGTTACAGATCGTAGCAGACTTTGATAGAACTTTGACGAAGTACATCCACAAGGGTCATGTCTGTGCTACCTGTCATTGTATGTGATCTATGTGTGAATAGTACCATCAATCAAATGGTGATTTATATCACTGACATGGCGGTCATTGGAAGCTTGGTTAAATAAAATTTTGATGGCAGATCTATAATAATTTTTTCAAATTTATTCAAAACTTTTTTAGAATCTTGTTTTGGTACATATTGTCATTGGAAGCTTGGTTAACGGGGCATTAGCTGTCAAATTCATGTTCATCGGTTTGATTCAAATTATTATATTCAACTTATAACATATACAAAAACGCATATTCAAATAATAAAAAGTCTTAAATAAACAATTTACAATGCATAGATTCGATAGTATGTATCAGCATTTCGTGTGTATTTTAGTCTAAACACCATCTAATTAACCATCGAGGTGACCCTGAAGACTGCAGACGGTCATATAACCCGCTATAAACATAAACATAGATATAAATAGATTGTGAACTCATGCAATTGGATTTTTCTAGGTCTGTTTGATTTCATATTATAGGTTAAAAGAATATGTTGATAATTGTTTTTACCTGTTTAAGAATGAGTTTTCTAGATCAAACAGTCAACCGAATGGTTTACCCTTGTTTCACTTCCAATATTTACATTCTTTTACATTTAATAACTAAATACGCCTAGTTGATCTGTAACCCATCTCTAGCTATAGGAATCAATTAAAGTTCACATGAATACAGGTTCAATGTGGTATAATTATTCACTTGCAAGTTAATAATTCATTATTGATGTTTTTTTGCTTATTTTGACAAAACTGAACCAAACTGGTTGTTAAAAGTGAATTATTATTTCACTATTTCACTTTCATTAATGATTGAACAAAAAAAAATCATGTTTTTATTTTTTTTATATCTCCTAGCTAATGCCCTTTAAATAAAATTTTGATGACAGATCTATAATATTTTTTTTCAAATTTATAAACAACTTTTCTAGAATCTTGTTTTAGTAAATAGAATTTTCATTCAAATCAAAGGAGGGTATACATTTCACATTCCCTTGGTCAATCAGATAATCTCAAGAAAATTATAATACAAATCAAATTATGGCTATTTATGAAACCAAACATGTGCTTCTTGTCAGTGATGTATACCATGCACCTTTTTTACTATCAATTTCGTTTATTTGCAGTGCTTGTCAGAAATCGCTTATGCATATATCTCTTCTTGACCTTTTTTAGCTCACCGGGGCCCGAAGGTCCCCATGTGAGCTTATGCCATCACTTGGCGTCCGTCGTCTGTCGTCGTAAACTATTTCAAAAATCTTCTCCTCTGAAACTACTGGGCCAAATACCTTCAGACTTTAACTAAATGTTCCTTAGGGTATCTAGTTTATAAATTGAATCTGAAGTTTTGATGTATCGACAAACATGGCCTCCATGGCTAAGAATAGAACATAGGGGTCAAATGCAGTTTTTGGCTTATATCTCAAAAACTAAAGCTTTTAGAGCATATCTGACATGGGGTAACATTGTTTAATTGGTCAAGATCTATCAGCTCCGAAATTTTCAGACAAATCGAACAACCCATTGTTGGGTTGCTGCCACCGAATTGGTAGTTTTAACAAAATTTTGCAGTTTTTTGTTATTAATTTGAATATTATTATAGATATATATAAACTGTAAGCAGCAATAATGTTCAGCAAAGTAAGATCTACAAATAAGATAGTATGACCATAATTGTCAATTGACCCCTTAAGGAGTTATTGCCCTTTAAAGACAATTTTACACAATTTGTTCATCAAGTTTGCTAACATTTAAAAATCTTCTCCTCTGAAACTACTGGGCCAATTACCTTCAAACTTTAACTAAATGTTCCTTAGGGTATCTTGTTTATAAATTGTATCCGAAGTTTGTATCCATTGACAAAGATGGCTGCCATGGCTAAAAATAGAACATAAGGGTCAAATGCAGTTTTTGGCTTATATCTCAAAAACTAAATCTTTTAGAGCAAATGTGACAGGAGTAAAATTGTTTAATTGGTCAAGATCTATCGGCCCTGAAATTTTAAGACCAATCGAACAACCCATAGTTGGGTTGCTGCCACCGAATTAGTAGTTTTAACAAAATTTTGCAGTTTTTTGTTATTATTTTGAATATTATTATAGATATATATAAACTGTAAGCAGCAATAATGTTCAGCAAAGTAAGATCTACAAAAAAGATATAAGTTCTATGAAAAAATACTTAGTTTTCTATATTTATAGTATTAGTTAAAAAGTTAAGCATTTACAGTGTATAACTTTTGGGAAATCTAATTTATTTATCCTGGAGTATTAAAATTTAGAAGTGGCTTTTGGCTTGCTTATACTTTTATTCCTTGAATAGCCCTAATTTTTTTGAATGTCACTCATGTAATGACTTTCCTTCCAGTACTGCATGAATTAGCATATAATGCTTTTTTTTATTTATCCTTAGGTTTAGATATGACATAATTTGAGTTTGAGTTTTTCAATTGGCTGTCATTTTGGAGGGATAAATGGTTGATTTTCCTATTTGATTAACCAATTTGAAACATGTTGTCCAAACAGTTTCGATAGAATATCCCTACTAGATCGTAGTGATGATATATTATATTAAAGTTATATAGATTATTTAGTAACTATTTGGTAAGGTATTTTATTCAAGCAAGAAATATTTATATAGTCATGATATCTCTGCTTTTCAAACAACCTGAAAGCTAATAAATTCACTGTTTTATGTACATTTTGTGATACAACAAAATTTAAGATTTAATGTAAAGGTAAAAAATGGCAACTGGTAATTTGGTTCATCCAGGGAATCAATTTATTAGCTGTAAATTTTAGAAATAATTGGGAGCTTTTTATTAATGCGAATAATGCAACTAGCTATATAGGTGATTATCGCAATAATAAGAACTTGTATTCTAATATCTTACACATATATCTGTTTGCAGATTTTCATGAATTAATTGAACGCTCTACTTATCCATTCTTCAAAAATCACAATAATTAATGCAAGCAATAATTTCTGATTTACAGTAATATGATGTTAACAAAACAAATAGACTTGCAAGACAAACAAAATTTGAGGGTATCAGCATAGCATTTAATTATTCATTTTATATCTTTGCCAGATGTGTTAGAGGAAGGATCCTTGCCAGAATTGTACAAGGAGAAGGTTAGTTTATGCAATGTTGGTCCAATAAGGGCTATTCCATTAAAATGTATGTGGGAGGGTAGGAAGGGAAGTTTAATTTTTGAATGTAGGTCATGGGTCTTTGTTCAGTATGCATCTATTACCATTATACAAAATTATCTAAAAAATGGTTCTTGGTTGTAGGGATATTTTGAAAGTCCCTTCCTACCCTCCCACATACATTTCAATGGAATAGCCCTAAAATATTACCTGGTGATGTATACACGATATAGCTCTCACATCTTTTGTCTATGTTTCTAAAATGTAATCAGGGTGGCTGAGTGTTCAAATTAGTGGAATTACTGTATCACTAGCCTGTCAACACTGATGTTTCAGTTCGAATCCGGCTAGTTGCAGGTACATTAGATTCCAATCTTGATTGAATAGGATAGTCAATTTTCCTACAGATGGCTAGTGGTTCCCTTTAGACAACTCAGCTACCTCCACCAATAAAAACTGACCACCACAAAATAGCACAACAGTGCTGAAAGTGGCGTTAAACACCAATCAGTCAATAAAAAGTACTAGTAATCAATGACTACAACATATTATACATTAATAATGAGATGTTGTATGATTGCCAATGAGACAACTATCTACTAAATATGTATGAATTAGATATCACAGTTGTACATACATCAGAAATTATTGAGAGGTTTTTATTAATGTGAATAATGCGTGTAGGCTACTAGTTGAGTATCACAATAATAAGAAATCACCTTTTGATATCCGATACATATATCTGTATGTTACTTTTCCAGAAAATGCAATGTGGAAGTCATTTCACTAATATCATAGGGTTTTGAGTCTTGTTCTCATGAGGTATACTGTTGATCACCAAGAATATGAGTTTGTCACTTGCCAAAGGTTAAAAATTTACTCTGACACTTTGGACTCCTTTCTAACTAGCTTGAGAGGAGAAATATGTATCAAACTATATATATTCTATATTCATTTGTGTATATATATATATATATATATATATATCTATCCAATTATATTCTACTGAGTTCTTTAAATCTTCAAAAATAAATTTTTTATACCAACTCTTGACAATGAATTTCAGAATTTTTGCTTTAGTTGTCCATTTGGTCTAATGTTAAAAATTTATTTACAAGATAAAGTTAACGGAGTGAATGCAATTGACTGTAAGTAATCTAAAAAAGATCATAATGGGGACGTTAAATCTGATGCCTCGTGAACAGAGTGTGCCCCGCTCCTTGCATTTTAAGAACCCTTGCAACAACTCTTTGAGGGGTCAGTAGGTGACCTGTTGCAAGGCTAAATTTCTGTCCCTTTTCAATACTGTAAATTCAGAAATTATTGCGTGCATTTATTATTGCAATTTTGTCATTTTAGACGAAAATGCGATTTGATTTTTTGCGGTATCGCGAAAAATCATGTTTAATTCATATTAAAAAATTTAAAATGCGAGTTTAAATTATTGTGATTATAACCATGTCGCATTTTTCGCAATAATAAAAACATCGCAATAATTTCTGAATTTACAGTATTACCTCATTATCCCTTGGCAGTCCAAATTTTCCTGACCTTCATTCTGGACGTCCTCTTTTACAGGACCTTCCTGTTGTATTTATTGTTAATTTGTTCTAGTCCTGAACATGCATGAAATATTTGCCACTGAACTTTTAAGCAACCAACCAACAATCAATCAATCAAAAGAAGATAATTTGAATATGAAAGGAGATCATCATGACCAATTCAATGGTCTTCCATTTGTACTTGATTGCATGGTACTGCTAAGAACAATTGAATGGTTATGGTAATAAATTGTACCTTCCTCTATAGCTAGGTTGGATAGTGATATACCAGTACATATTTACTATAGAAACTAAACTTTCTTTTATTTTTTATCGACAAAAATATCTGACAAAAGTAGTCAGAGTTTGTATATCAATTACAAAATTATGAGATATAAATTCTGCTAAAACCTGTAAAATTTGGATTTTTGATAGTGTATTTTAAGGATGTTCGCTCATCTTGTTTTTGATTTTTTGCCAGATATTCGGAATCTGCTGGTTTTATCCATGTAGTGCAATTAAAAATTTTGCCCACTAACCCCTGCTTTTTTTTCCATAATTTGATTACATATAGTTTAAAATGTCATCTTTGAATATCTTATAAAATCCTTGTTATTTTTTCATTGTTTTTGAAAGAAAAAAGGTGCCATGTTAAATGTATGAAAAATCTAGAGAGAATTATTTCCCGCCAAATTTTCAGTGGCTTATATATCTTGAAAACAAGCACAGGGACCCTTAATTTTTTCCGCTTTTTTTGTTACTTTATTTTAATATATACTATCAATTTATAAATGTCTTTTAAAAAGCTTGTTATTTTGAAAAAGAGTAGCGAACATACATAAGTATCAGTGTTTATTTTGTTTATTTTGTTATATGCTTTGTATAATTTCTACTTACTGTTGTCGATATTCTTTAATATTTCATTTACTGCATGCTATTTCTGTATATTTATCACTGTGGCAGTAACATCAACAAATAGTTTTTTTTTACATTTCATAGGCAAGAACTCTCAGAGATACATACTTTCCCATAGAAACCAATCCTAAATTATCAGTGGAGGAGAAAATTCCTAAGATGATTGAATGGTAAGGATTTAAGTTTGGTTTGTTATATACTGTAAATTCAGAAATCGTGTTGTGCATTTATTATTACCATTTTGACATGACCAACAACAATTTTAGTTTAATTATTGTGATTTTAGAAAAAGCTTCATATATTTGTATCAGATATCAGAATGGAAGTTATTATTATTCAGTACTCATCAAGGTGCATTATTAGTATTAGTTAATAAAAATTCACCAATAATTTCAGAATTTACAGTATCTATAGAAAGGTAAAATGGAATTGTAATATGGTTGCCAAATAAGAAATAATTTGTTTATGTCATGCTCTATGCTCATTTTGACATGTAGGTGCAATGTATTGGTCTATATCTTTATATGAATCATCAGAAAGTGAATTATTGACAAATATATTTCCTACCCAAGTACAAATGCACACAAGAGCATGACATGAAAGAATAGTTTTGATTCTAATAGGAAAATTTTAATATTAGTTCGGAGCAGACTTTTGAATAAAATTGAGAATGGAAATGGGGAATGTGTCAAAGAGACAACAACCCGACCATAGAACAGACAACAGCAGAAGGTCACCAACAGGTCTTCAATGCAGCGAGAAATTCCAGCACCCGGAGGTGTCCTTCAGCTGGCCCCTAAACAAAAATATATACTAGTTCAGTGATAATGAACGCCATACTAAACTCCAAATTGTACACAAGAAACTAAAATTAAAAATAATACAAGACTGACAAAGGCTAGAGGCTCCTGACTTAGGACAGGCGCAAAAATGCGGCGGGGTTAAACATGTTTATGAGATCTCAACCCTCCCCCTATACCTCTAGCCAATGTAGAAAAGTAAACGCATAACAATACGCACATTAAAATTCAGTTCAAGAGAAGTCCGAGTCTGATGTTAGAAGATGTAACCAAAGAAAATAAACAAAATGACAATAATACACAAATAACAACAGACTACTAGCAGTTAACATGTTCATACTGGTACGAAGCAATATTGATTTGATGAAGCTAAACTATTATGTAAACATCACCTATTTCAGGACTTTACATATCAAGGTACTTTTAGACTTACTTGTTAAATATTTTATTGAATTTCATACTGAAGAACTTCCACAAAAATGTCCATTTAGATGTTGGCATTACAATTGATGTTGAAATCCTATTGTGATGCTAAATATATGTACCCTATGTTGTTTTTTTTTCAAATTAGAACATGACTTTGTTTAATATGTAATAAAAGAAAATTGTAATATTGAAAATGACTATATAATCTGTTTTTTTTTTTTTTTTAAGAATTAGCAGTTACCATAGGATTTTATTGATAGTGATAAAAACTGATTTTAATGAAAGACATTATTTAGCCCTAGACGATCTCTTAAATATTTTTTAATCTTTTGAAATTCATATTAAAAGTTTCTGCCATTTGATTAAAAGGTCAATTAAGCCATTTTTGTGCAAAAAATATTGATTATGATATCTCTTATATGTTATTGCTTTATCAATGTCATAGTTAACAAATAAAACCAAAAGTGTCCATTTGGTATACAATTTTTGATACAATTAAAAATTAGCAGCAGTCTTCCCTTAAAAGGTTATTTTATTATTGTAAATGTAGTTCTATTTCAATTTGATCTCAAAGTTTCTTCTTAACATTTTGTTTCAGGTGGACAAAATCCCATGGTTTGCTAGAAACATGTGAAATATCCAGAGATTCTATACAGCACTGTGTATCCTCATCTACTGCTAAACTTAGGTAAAACTTATTAAACAAAGAGTTGAAAAAAGGGAGCAGTGTATATGTACAGTTAAACAGGAAATAAGTTGAACATAAAATTAAAACAATAGTTTACACATCGCTTTTTAACCAATATTCTTGAAACAGAGTGAATAAGCATGAAAAAAATGCTTTGCACAAAATTAATCCTTTATCACCAACTAAACTACAGCTACAGAACCTACTATACCTTTACAGTGATCTTTTGATGAATAAGGAGCATAAATTGTAGGATTTGTCCAAAGCAGGGTCAAACTGGACTCTTTTTGTTACTTGCTGTTTCAAAGCCCTATCAATATTAACAAATTGATTTTTAGCTCACATGGCCCAGGGTCTCAAGTGAGCTTTTCTCATCACTTGGTGTCCGTCGTCTGTCGTCCTTCGTCTATTGTCATTAACTTTTATAAAAATCTTCTCTGAAACTGCTGGACCAAATTTTACCAAACTTGGCCACAATCATCATTGGGGTATCTAGTATAAAAAATGTGTACGATGACCCTGCCCCCAAAAACCAAGATGGCTGACATGGCTGAAAAAAGAACATAGGGGTAAAATGCAAGTTTTGTCTATTATTTTGAAACTGTTATAAAAAGAGAAATTCTGACCTAGGCAAAAATGATCAGAATGTTGAGCTCTACTAATTATTCATTGACGTCAAAACTGTCAAACGACTTCTTTTAGAAGTTATTGCCCTTAAATGACAACGTTTACCATTTTTTTTTCATTTTTGCCTATTATCTTGAAAACTGTAGAGAGAAACTTTAAATTTCAAAAATGATCAGCAAGACAAATTCCACAAATAAGCCTGATGGTCAAAATCATTAGTTGACTCCTTATAAGAGTTATTGCCCTTTGATGGCTCTTTTTATTAATTTATTGCGTTTTTGCCTTATTCTTAAAAATTAATATAGAAACTTAAATAAGCAAATATGGTCAGCAAGACAAGATCTACAATTAAGACAAATGGAGGAAATAGTCGGACAACTCTTTATTGGAGTTATTGCCCTTTAATGACGACTTTTACCATATTTTTTTTTGCGTTTTGCCTGATATGATTAAAATTATAATAGATATATAGACACTTTAAATCACAAAAATGATCAGCAAGGCAAGATCTACTAACAAGTCAAATTTTGCTGATATAGTTAGTAGACTGTCACTCTTTATAGGAGTGATTGCCCTTAAATGAGGATTTTTTTTGTGTTTTGAGCGAAAACTTAAGAAGATAGAGAGAAAATAAACAGACTAAATGATCAGCAGTACAAGATCAACAAAACAGGGATTTTTGTCATGAATTCTATTGAAGTCTACAATGTTGGATAGTGTCCTTTTTTGAATATGCACATAGACCAAGGTGAGCGACACAGGCTCTTTAGAGCCTCTAGTTTGAGGTTATCTCCCTTTGTATTTAACCTTATGTCAATTATAATAATTTTATGGATGGTGTAATTATATTTAAAATGATTTTACAGTATGCCCAGTGTATCATGCACTTGTCATGCTTGTGGTGCAGCTTTTGTTTAATATGACCAATAATGCTTTGTAATGGTCCTGAGTAAGCCTGATGAAAGTTTACAGGAAATTCAGAATTTTTTTAAAAAGAATGACAAAAATGTTGCTTCTATGAATCTTTTTTTTACATCTTTGAAATAATTACAGTAATGATTACAAATTTTAATATAAAAGGAATATATTTAATTGTTTTGTGTTACAAATTATAAATTACTTCTAGTCTCAATTAAATCACATGTTTTCATCTATTTATACCAGTCTACCTTGAAGATAGATAATAGTCCCAACAAACCAATCCTTGACACAGAAATGTGTTTCTGGAAGGCAATTAGTGTTTCAGGAGGATAAGTTTTTGTACTTCATGGGAAAAATAACCAGATGTCTGAGGAAAAATGTTTATGCTAGTAAAATCTGTATGAATGGACACCCCTGTAAATGATATTTAAAAAAGAAATTTTATATAAATTATTTTATAAAGAACCTCATTTTATAAATAACTGGTATAGGTAATTTTGAAAAATTGTTTGTTCAAGCAAGCCCCTGACTGTTTATTAAAGTCCTCATGCTCTATGATATTTCCACAATAAAAATTTGCTGCTATATAGATGGAAAATGCAGAATTAAGAAAGAAGTGTCAATCAATATTATGTTCTTAAAACTATCTAACCTGTATATAAAGATCACCCTCTGAACTAAAGAAAAAGTACCTTTTTCACTGAATTAGTACACATTATTGTTTAGGAGCCAGCTGAAGCTCACCTCTGGGTGCGGGATTTTCTCACTGTATTGAAGACCCATTGGTGGCCTTGGGCTGTTTGCTTTGGTCGGGTTGTTGTCTCTTTGACACATTCTCCGTTTCCATTCTCAATTCACTTATAAGATAGGAGACTTTTGAATTAAAGTTCAAAGTACATAGCTACATAGCTATTACTAAACAGGACATGAAGAGGGTGACCTAACATGACAGGTTTTTGCTTAATAAGAGCTGGTCTTTATAGCAAGTTTAACTGTATTTAATGTTTTCTATAAACAGAGACGGATGTTCTTGGTTTTTCGATGAGCTAAAGAAGTATGAGGTACCAGTGTTGATATTTTCAGCAGGGATTGGTGACATTATTGAGGAAGTTATAAAACAACAATCAACCATGCATGACAATATGCACATTGTATCAAATTATATGAAGTTTAATGAAAAGGTCAGTAAAATAATTATAGAATAACTAATCGAAGAATTCAAACATAGAAAAATAATTTTAGAGTGACAGAACAACACGTTAAGTCATGAATGCACATAGCGCATCGAGTTAATTATCATTGGTGTTCAGTCACGAATGCACATAGCGCATGAGTTAATTATCAGTGGTGTTCGGTCACGAATGCACATAGTGCATCGAGTTAATTATCAGTGGTGTTCGGTCACGAATGCACATAGCGAATCGAGTTAATTATCAGTGGTGTTCGGTCATGAATGCACATAGCGCATCGAGTTAATTACCAGTGGTGTTTCGGTCACGAATGCACATAGCGCATCAAGTTAATTATCTGTGGTGTTCGGTCACAAGTTTAATATTTTAATTCTTTGATTAATTATTCTTTTTATTACAATGACTATGGGCTTTTTAATGGGAATGAATTAGAAAATGCAATGAACTCAATTTTTTTCTACGATTTCACAATTAGCTTTGATCTAACTTCATCGACAACGTCTTGACAACACATATTGTTGTATGACGTCAGAGGAGTGAAATTATCGGGTTTATTTCACATGTGAAATTATAGGTTTTTATTTCATTGGGAAATCATGGTAATTCATTGCAACCAATGTAATAATTATTATTTCTTAGTAATAGATGTGTGTCAAAGAAAAATGAAAATGCTGCTAGATGTATTGTTTTTTGTGTTGTTAAGTTGCTGTCTAATTGTTCTCCGTTTGAATATACCTATCATTAAAAGTCTACCAACAATAGATGTATATTGGATAACAATTTTTATTTTCCTGGAAATTCACAGAAAACAGGTCAATTTGAACTGGTTTTTAGGACCTGAAAAAATACAGTGAATACATTTATAAAAAAGGTCTTATAACATGTTTGATATAATAAATTACATCTACAGCTAGAATATTGAGTTTGATGAACCCTCCACTCTATGTTTCCTAGGCCCAAACCAAATGTGGTTTACGTCTGGATTGATTTTTGGCATAATTGGGATATAAATGTAATGTTTAAGAAGGGTCAGCAGTTCCTGTTCAGCAGTCAACATTGTATTATAATCTTAATCACTATAAAAACAAATAACTATTTCAACAAAGAAATACAAAAAGACATATGAACACTCTATAGACAAAGTACATAAGCAAAAAATGATAGACAAGAATACAAAAATGACCATAGCACAATAACACAACAGATTTATATATGTCTCTTTTCTAAACCTTAGAATCACAAAATTTAAAACATGTAAAAACCATTGGTACATGTAAATTATCTAAAACTTGACCGAATGTGAACATTTTAAATGAAATTAGGTTTTTCCATGCCTGTACGACAGATAAGACTTTCACAGGTTGACAACACAGACATTAAAAAATAAAAGAGCAAATAACACAACATTGAAAGCATAAACATTATGAGGCCTTTTTCATCAAAACTAGGGGTTAATGTAGGTGTTCCAGAAGGATGTGTAGTTTCTGGCCAACTGGTAGCAATCGTGATGCTACTCATTGCAAGTAGAAATTTGGTGATTAGTCGTATTTATTTATTTATTTATTTATGTTGATGTTACCACAATCGAGGAAAAAGAAAGCATTGTGGCAAGGAGAAGTGGAACATATCCATTATCATGTGTGACTCGGGTGGTACTTAACAGCCAAACAAATTCTAATGGTGTCCTGAAAAGTTCGAAAGTTTCCATTTATGGGATCTTTGATTAAATTGTCTTGCAAGCAGCATCCATGTATCATGGAAACGCAATCTCTGGAATATTGTATGAACTGCAAAGTGCAATTCGATAGAAGAAATAAATATCAGCAAACCTTGTCTTAGTTTTGTTCATTTTCACTTTTTGGCGGCCATTTTGAAATCTTACGCCATTTTGAATAAAATGTAAAAAGTCTAATAGAACATCATGACTTACTAGAAATGTTGGATTACATTTTATATGTTTTTAAAAGATTTAGTTTGAATAGTTTATGCTTTAATTTATACATAGTTGTGAAATTTAAACTCATTGGTAGACATCTTGAAAATGGCCACCATATTGGATTTTGGGTCCATAGCTTAAATTGACTACCAAATATATATCTACAATTGTGCAAAGTTTCATGCTTTTATCATCAAACCCACAATTCTTCTAAAAATATGCACGTATCAGCTGGACTATGTAAACAATAGTTGGCTTATTGCAGGATAAACTAAATAATTGTATTTTTAATTTCTATTTTTTAGGGTCAAATGACTGGATTCCAGAATGCCATTATACATGTTTACAACAAGAACGAGAATGCTATCCACGATTCTGCTTATTTCCAGAATATAGAACATAAAACTAGTATGATTTTAATGGGTGATTCCCTAGGAGATCTACACATGGCTGATGGTGCAGAGGTCGATCATAAACTAAAAATAGGATTTCTTAATACAAGGGTATGTGGCTCTGAAGTGAATATTAAACTTTTTTGTTGATTAAGCTCAATTTCATGGACAGTGTTTGACCACTTGGATTTATATGTTAATAAAAAAAAATAAAAAAAATAGGAATTCCAAATATAAGAACTATTTATAGATTATAAAACTATTGAAAAATTCTTAAAAAAACAAAGTTAGATCAAGCTGATTGATATTAACAGCATGCATTAAGGGAGGATTACTTGATAAAAATGAAAGTTAGAAAACTAATTTTAAATTTAAAACAGGGTTTCTTAAAGTAGGACTTGTGTTGATATTAATTTTCTAACTAAAAATATTTTTTTTGAGAGGCATTAAATGTGATCAACATGATACAAATTTTTATTTATACCAATATACATCGTAAAAGAACAGCTCAGATTTTCAGATACTAAGGAATGTGTTACAATTTGTAATATGACATTCTTCTTCTGTTTTGCAATCAAACTCATCATGCTCATGTTCTAATTTCAACAAAACATTGGGAACATATACATGAAGTGTTTTATAGGTCAACTTTGACTTTGATAGAAAAAAGTTCTGAATTTTCCTATTTAAATGATAATTCTAAAATGACGTTCTTTGAATGCTTTGAGTACACAAAAAAATATGAATTTATTGTATGTCAGCTGACTGGCAACGTCATGATTTGTTTATTCTTTATATGAATGAGTTATCGGAGGGCTTGATTTATTTTAGATATAATGCCTACCTATGTTAAAATATTACATGAAAGAATTACTTCTTAATCATAAATTTACTTAATCATGAAGAAATCTTACTAAAATATAATTATACCCCTGCTTTAAAAAAGGGGGGGTATACTGTTTTACCTCTTGTCTGCCCTCCGTCAGTCCTTCTGTCCATCCATTCGTCAGTCCGTCCGTCCGTCTGTCCCATGAATATTTATCATCAGTGAGCAGTAGCTCGCAGTTTCACTTGTTTTTCTGTTTTAGGTAGAAGAAAGCCTGGAGCTATACAAGAAGAAGTATGACATTGTATTAGTTGAAGATGAAACACTAGACGTCCCAAATAATTTATTACGTAGCATTCTAGAAAGATGATGAAAATTGTTTAATAGGTTGTTTTAAAGTTGTTATTTATCTATACAGCTGATTCAAATGCCCTATGCAATTTTTTACTGCTTTTGAAATTGTTGAGTGTTGTCAACTTTTTGCAAAGATCTCCACATTGATAGACTTTATAAGAGATATTTCAGAAGTGAAATAACTCTGTTGTACTTATTTTTTTTTTATTTTAGAAGGTTTAGGAGGAGCATAGAAATAGTCTCTTAATATTCCTAGAGTGTTTATGAATAGTTATTAGCAAAATTTAGACATTTGAGGGGATATACGAGGGCAAAGGGAGTATAGATATTTGAGGGGCTATACCTGACTAAAGGGAGATTACTTTTTAAATAAGTGTAGAATTTGTAATATCTTGGTTATACAATGCTTTCTTATGCAGTCAAGAGAACATATTTTTAAAATAATCTTTGTAACCAAGAACCTTAGAATGTATTCATGAAAATGGGTGACACAAACATCTATAGAGTTTTGTCCCTTTATCTAATTTTATCCCTTAGATAAGGTCTTATACTGTGTCGACACTTTTCTGTTTAAGATAGCCATGCCATAAATGTCTACGTGACTTGAGAAATTTTTTACTTCCTGATGAAGGTAACTCCAGAGATGTATTAAATTTATAAAGTATTATTCTAAAATTTCGACATGTTATCAGGTCATAGTAACCTTTACAAGTGACCTTTCTGCAAAAAGTGTCCAGATTATATTAATCTGTACATTAATCAATAAAATTAACATAATTTTTAAAGGCTTGAATAAGTTAACTATTTTTGAATTTTCAAGAGATAAAGATATGATAACAGAAAATCAGTTTGGTGTTCAATTATATTTTAATAGACAAAGATATGTTCATAATAAAAGAAAATCTGTTTGATGTATGTAAGGCAATCTTGAATTATATTTTTAATTGAATACTGGCAAAGAGATGTTAATATGTATCAAGCAAGCCGTCTTGATGTTAAATTGATAGTTTGATTGCAGACAATTCAAAGGCTGTGAAATTTACTTATTTAAGATTAATTTTGAAAGGTATAATTTCTTACCAAGTTTTATTTATTCTGAGTTTCAGGATTGAACATCTTTAGTTTATATTTATTTTACTTGTAATTTTTATCCAAATATTAAAAAAGGTTAGTTTTGTATTAAAATTCATAAACATTATTTCTTATTTCGTGCCTTGTTTGTAAATATATGAAATGGAGACATTAGGGAAGATCAGGACCATGGCACAATCTGTGATAGCAGAACCATAGCCCAATGGAGGTAAATGAAGCAAAAGCCTCACGTTTTATATTATCTGGCCCACAGGGCCATTTGAGCTATTGCCATCACTTGTCCTCCGTTGTCTTGGTCGTCCAAAATCATCTTCTTATCTTGTGGTAATTTTTTCAAAAATATTCCAATGAAGACACTTGACTACCATGGCTAAAAATAGAACATAATGGGGAATTGCATTTATTGTCTTATATCTTGAAAAGCATAAAAGATAGAGAAAATGTGTCAGGGTTTAAATGTTCAGAATGTAAAGATCTACATACTTCCTATTTGTTACAAAATTATCATATGACTCCTTATATGAGTAATTGTCCTTTAATGACGACTTATGACTTATTTATAATTTTTGTCCAATTATCTTGATATCTATTATAGAAAGGAAGAAATTAAAACAAGAAAAATAATCAGCAACATAATATCTTCAAAAATGCCAGTATGTCTGAAACTGTTGGATGACTTCTTAATAGAGTTACTGCCCTTTGATGACAATTTTTATTTATTTATTTGTAGTTTATTCCTGTCACATAATATTGTCATTTTAGTGGCATTTTTAACATTGCTATATAAGTGGGAGGTTTGTTGTCATAAAACCAGGTTCAACCCACCATTTTTTCTTAAAATGTCCTGTACCAAGTCAGGAATATGGCAATTGTTATAACATAGTCCGTTTTTATGTATGTTGGCGTTTGTTCTTGTAGCAGTTCAGTGTTTCTGTTGTTCAGTTTTGTTTCCTCTTATAGTTGATGTGTTTCCCTCAGTTTTGGTTTGTGACCCGGATTTGTTTCAGTTAAATCCATTATGACTATTGAACAGCGGTATACTACTATTGCCTTTATTTAACTACTTTACAATTTTTGTTATTATCTTGAAAACTATAATATAATGCCCAATATAACCAAATTCATTAGATGACAGTATGAGTTATTGACCTAAATTGAAGATTTATGACTACTTTTCGAGTTTAAGTCTTTTATTTCAATTTTTTGACAGGTGAGGAATTCAGGCTCTTAGGAGCCACTTGTTAAACAGTAAAACTAGTTGTGAAAATTTCTTTTTTTTTATTTAAAGTTGTCAGTTTGATTTTGAAATATAGTGTTCAGTAAAAGGCAACAACAATGCTTCCCTGAAGATCAAAATTATTTTATCATATTTAAATCTTGATCATCTAATCCGATAGTGATAGTAATTTGTTAATCTGACAAATATAAAAAATGCATGTATTCTAATAAAATTTAAAAATTCCTTCTAAAAGACTTACGATCCCAGCCTAATTATAAAAATAAGAAGATGTGGAAAGATTGCCAATGAGACAACTCTCCACAATTCTCCATAAATCTCTGCTTTGGGTAAGCAGTGAGTCAGGATCTAAGGCTAGCTCAAAATGGGACTTTTAAGACAGGATGCCAAAAAGTCACTTCCTATGATATTTTCCGTTTAATTCATTCACAAACATGATAGACTTAGAATTATTTACATGTTGACATATTGTATAGACATCTGTTTTTTGTTGCAGACTGTTTTTTAGGTTATTTTGTATGATTTGGTTATCTTTTTGTTGTATATGCCACACACCATTACACTGGATCTCAGACAGAAGAGCATGTGTGAGTAAGAGGTTCCGATCGTGCAAGAATCCATGAGTAGTCTTAGAGGTTAAATACGTACCTCTTAGTAGAAGTGCATGAAGTAGGGGCAGGGGAAACAGAAAATCTTTACTATGAAATTCTAAGTGTTACTGTCTTGCTTAAGTTTGTTCATTTTCTCACCCACTCAAATATTAAAAATTATTAAAAAAACACGTTTTCTCACTTATTAATAGGATAAAATTGAGAATGGAAATGGGGAATGTGTCAAAGAGACAACAACCCGACCATACGACAGACAACAGCCAAAGGCCACCAATGGGTCTTCAATGCAGAAGAGAAACTCCCGCACCCGGAGGCGTCCTTCAGCTGGCCCCTAAACAAATATGTATACTAGTTCAGTGAGAATAGACGTCATACTAAACTCCAAATTATACACAAGAAACTAAAATTAAAAATGATACAAGACTAACAAAGGCCAGAGGCTCCTGACTTGGGACAGGCGCAAAAATGCGGCGGGGTTAAACATGTTTTTTGAGATCTCAACCCTCCCCCTATACCTCTAGCCAATGTAGAAAAAACAAACGTACAACAGTACGCACAGTAAAACTCAGTTTAAGAGAAGTCCGAGTCCGATGTCAGAATAGGAAACAAAAGAAAATAAACAAAATGACAACAATACATAAATAACAACAGACTACTAGCAGTTACTGACATGCCAGCTCCAGACCTCAATTAAACTGATTGAAAGATTATGTCTTCATCATATGAATATCAGGCACAATCCCTCCTGTTAGGGGTTTAGTATTATACCATCATAAAATATATGAGAAGAACATAACCCGTGTCATGCCAGCAACTGGTTTTAGAATAAATATATTTAATTCCGATGCAAAGACCCTATAAGTGAATTAATATTAAAGCCAAAATATGCAATCTTTAATGACCTGACAACAGTATCGTAACTATATCCCTTCTTAATAAGTCTGTTTAAAGGTTTTGTTAGCTTTTGAGGTGAATACTGACATTTTTGTGCTTTGTAAAGAATATTACCATAGAAGATTAACTATATTTGGTATTTAAGATCTCTGCGAGGTCAACATGTCCATTAGATAGAGTTCATCTGACCTCGTCCTCATTTCATGGATCAATGTTCAAGGTTATGTGTTCATTGTCAAGTCCTTATCTCAGAAATAGTATAACCAGCAGTTCAACTGCACTTGGTGTATGGAATTCTTGTAAGATATATATGTCGGTCTGGCTTGTTTCATCTTACCTTTACAAAATATAAGCCTGGTATCTTTGATTTTTACAACCACTGGGATGATTCAGCTGCTACTGATAGAATATTTATATATTAACTGTTTGCAAAACCATGAATTGTTCAAAATACTAAGGATTTTCTACCCCGTGAATAAATTACCTTAGCTGTATTTGGCAAAGCCTTTCGGAATTTTGGGTCCTCAATGCTCTTCAACTTCAAACTTAATTTGACGTTTTAACTTTTTTATTGGAGCGTCACAGATGAGTCTTCTGTAGACGAAACGCGCATTTGGCGGACATAAAATAAGCCTGGTATTTTTTTATGAGTTTTTTTTTTACCTCATTTTCATCATGGTTCATTGCCAATGTAATGTTTTTGTGTTTTAGTCCATTTGTTAGATACTATAAGCTGTAGGTCAACAATATTTGGTGTATGAAATGGTTGTAAGTTGTACAATATAAAAAGCTGATGTTATGATGGTCAATGATGTGACAACTATTCACCAAAGATCAAGTGACAGATCCTAGCAACTATCGATCACCGTAATGCCTTCAACCTGAGCAAAACCAATACCGCACAGCAAGAAATAAATGGCCAAACATGACAAAATATAAAATTATTCAAACGAGAGAAAAAATGGCTTTATGTAAGTATGAAACAACAAACATAATAGAAATATGCTATACAGCAACAAACGACACACACTGAATGACAGGCGCCTGACTTGGGACGGGGACATACAGAATGCGGTAAGAAAAAACAAGAGGGCACTCAAATCTCACATAACCTGGGACAGTGGTATAACAGCACAATCTAAGAACAAACTGTAAAAATTAGTTGAAAAGGGCTCGACACGTAGCACAAAAACACTAAAGACACAAAGAACCGATATAAGAGTATTACAATTCCGGAAAGATAGTTCAGTAACTAATAAACTAAATCATGTATGTTTTATCTTTAAACAATAGTGCACACGCTGAAACATGTCACCTGCTTTACTGATTATGAGTGATTTTATGCTGAAAGTCTTAGCAAAAAAGGTTATACAACAAGTATTACATAAAATCAGCATTATCCATGATCCATGTAAATGAGACCAAGGTCCAATGAAATTTGTTAGGTAGACACGTACTCCTTACAATCATTCCATACACCAAACATAGTTAACATATTGCTTATAGTATCTGAGAAACAGACCTAATCACAAAAACCAAACTCACTAATGAACCATGAAAATGAGGTCCTTTCAATTCGGTTGACAGTTTTGACTTGTTGACCTATTACGCTACACGCCCACAAAAGTTTTCTAACTTAATAATATGATCTGATTGCAAATTAATGTCCTGCAACTCTTATAAAGTTTTCTTCTGTAATGAAAAGAGTTATTTTTTATTCTAGATATAATTAGTGGAAGTGTGAATGGGTTTTTCTCTCCTTGAAAACATCTATGTACGTTTCGGCAATAACGTTTATCGACAGGTGGTTGTATGTATTTTCTTGGGCTCCAATTGAGCCTCTTTAATTACGGGTACACGACAACTAGTACCTTCGCCAACTCGTACTCAACTAACTCGTACCCTAGTTTTACTAACTCGTACTTCTACCAACTCGAACCCAGTATTTCATTATTATTTATACACATTATATTTGTTTTTTTCTTTCATATATCATGATAATCCTATAGCAACATACAAATAAAATAAGATATAACTTTGATTGGTAATATGATGCAATCATAATTGATTCAAAGCAAAGCTAACTGAATGCTAATTTTTAGTCATTAGAATTTTTTTATTATATGAATATATGAAATTGTTTGAACGGCAATTTATTTGATATGCATATTAAGTAATTATAATCATACAATACACTAATCAGTGATCATTATTGGATAATATAGACCTACAAAAAAGGAATTGGTTTGTTTAATAAAAAACAAACATAGATATAAAAACAAAAAATCGGTATAAATGCGGCACTAAAATGAATATATGTAAACCATTTGGACTTTGTTTAATTCATGTGCTGACTTTATGGTT